GCACCTAATAAAACACATACATCTGATTTACCAGTAGCTATACTAAAGGTAAATTCTATTAGAGTTGAATGCAGTATTACAACTGGAGCATATATTAATGGTAAAAAAGTCCATACTATTCATGAGTTTTTTCCAGTAGTACCTGCTGGATATAAGATTGTGGAAGTACCTTCACATGTCATTTATCTTCCAGTTGCCGTGAAGACAATACATAATATTCAACTTAAAATTGTTGATCAGGACGGAGATTTAGTTAATTTCCGTGGAGAAACTATAACAATTCGTCTACACGTAAAATCAACATAATGGGCATTGTATTTCACAGGAAATCTGGTAGAAGTTATATAAACGAGCCAACATGTCAGAAAACATTCAGTCTTCAATCAGTTCGCAAGAGCTTAACACATCAGAACATACTCTTTCTGAAACATCTCGGTCTGCGAATTCGTCGTCAAGAAAAAAGAAAAAAACAAAATTAATAATTCGTGCTTTTTTTATTTGTTGTAATAAAAATGGAAGAGACTTTGAATATTCTAAGTCCAGTTAAATATGATGATTCATTAGCACACTTTGAGATTCATACTCATCAACCTTATGTTTCATCAGCATTTAATAATAGCGATGAGATTCGAATTGCTGTTCAACATCAGGATTTGTATATTCTTCCTAGTAAAAGTACGTTACATGTACATGGAAGATTAGTTAAATCTGACGATACTGTTGTGACTAATACAAAATTGATTAGTAATGCTATTTGTTATCTATTTAATGAGATTCGTTATGAACTGAATGGTGTTGAAATTGATCGTTGTAAAAATGTTGGCCTCACAACCACCATGAAAACTTATATTTCTCAAACACCTAATCAGATTATTTACGCAGAGAATGCTGGTTATCTTAACTTTGATGATGATAGTAGAATAACAGATAACGCTGGATACTTTGATGTGAATATACCTTTAAGCATGATTCTTGGATTTGCTGAAGACTACCGAAAAATAGTTGTAAATGCAAAACATGAACTTATTTTGACAAGATCTCGTACAGATCTTAATGCTGTGGTTAACATTACTGGCGTTGAACGTGAAAGATTTAAAATTATACTCAATAACGTGGAATGGATGATACCATATTTATTTGTTGGTGACCGTCGAAGAATAGAATTATTAAAATTTATTGAAAAAGATCCACTTATAAATATGAGTTTTAGATCATGGGAAATGTATGAATATCCACTGATACCTGCAACTCAGAAACATTGCTGGACTGTAAAAACATCCACACAAGTTGAAAAACCTCGATATGTTATACTTGGGTTTCAGACTAATCGGAAAGATAATCATGCAAGATATGCAAACTTTTTTGATAACTGTAATCTCATAAATGTTAAACTTTTTTTAAACTCACAATATTATCCTTATGGTAATTTAAATTTAAATTTTAATCAAAACAAATATTCTCTCCTTTATGATATGTATTGTAATTTTCAATCATCATACTATGGAAAAGATACTGAGCCGTTACTTTCTAGAACTACCTTTAAAGACTATGCACCATTGGCTGTCATAGATTGTTCAAAACAAAACGAATTCCTTAAACAAGCTTCAGTTGATGTCCGATTGGAATTTGAATCTAGTGAAAATTTTCCCGCCAATACAGCAGCATATTGCTTGATTATTCATGATCGCATTATACAGTATAAACCAATCAGCGGTGTTGTTAAAAAAGTAACATAAGTAGTGGGGGTAAATCTCAAGTATAAAAAGGTGGTCTCCAGACAGAAATTTTCAGTTCCTACAACCATGGACTTCATCGTAGACGTTCAAGGCTTCAAAAGACCCTACAACGACTTCATCTTCAAGGAGTTGGCCATTTTACCTCTCGAGGAAGATGCACAACCGATGGTATTTCTGTTCGAGCCACCCTGCAGCTGGAGTTCTCTGCCTGGACGATATAAGAGTGAAAATTTATGGTTGATGCACAACTACCATGGACTCAAGTGGACCAATGGTGACGTGCCGTATGATGAACTACGTTCAATTCTTCAAGAGCTGTTGGGCCATGCACGAGCAATCTATGTAAAGGGGTTGGAAAAAAAGAAGTGGCTTGAAAAATATGGAATTAATGTACAAAACCTTGAAGATTTTAATTGTCCATCAATTAAAAAACTCAAAGTAGAGACAACATGGCATGTATGTACCTATCATTCTTTGTTAAAAAAATGGTGCGCAGCAAACAATGTTATGATTTTGCGAAATTGGGTTTTGAAACCTATAAATAAATGTGTTGTAAGAAATTTAAATCAAGATATTGATGAAGTTGATGAACGTAATGAATATTTTACTGTCAACCCTACTGAAACACTTAAAGATTTTTATGAAAATGCTGATCTTTTTTACAAATAAAATTTTAAGATTAAAATAATATTCTGTCTATTGATTTTATCCTATCCTATTAGTTGAAAGTTATTTTATGTATTATACAAAATTAAAAAAACAATTTTAAATGAACTGCGCATGTGTCAAAATCAAAAGAGTATAAATTGAGGAAGTATCAAAAGATTTGCTTATTATTCTTTAGTAAGCTTAACAACGATGTCATCGTCTAATCAACAAAAGCAGAAAAAAATAAAGTGTACAATAATAAGTTTTTACTATATAATACACAAAATTGATTATTTTAAATATAACATGTTTTTTTTTTGCAAAAAAAAAATTTATATTTTTTAATAAATAAATAAGTACATATAAAAATGTAAGAAATGTTATTATTCATTAACCCTTATTTAAAAAAACTAAATTAATGTTTAAAAATAAAATTGTTTTGAATAAATCTTTATTTCCTGTTTTGGAAATACTCATCAGGTTTTAATACCACATGCGCGCTACGCGACGTGACCGCGCTCTGATTCAACACGGTTCGTATGGCGCGGTGGGAATCCCTTCTCTCTCTCAACGGTCGTAGGGAATCCCCTAACTATTAGAAATTCAAAAATTTTAAATTTGAAAAACAACTATTTTTGAATTTTTTTTTAGCAGGGGAGAGGGGTTCAGGGGTTCGGTGGGCGTCACGACTGTTAATTTTTTTTTATTTTGCAGATATATACTGTTGCGCAACTATTTTGCGCATATGTTTTATGCGCAGCTCTTTTTGCGCATTTAGAGTGGGAATGGAGGTTGGGAGGGGGTTGAATTTCAAGTATAAAAAAGGGCTTCGTCTCAGCGAATTGATTATTCAACCTTTTCCAAGTTGACTAAACATCATCTCCAAGGGCAACTGAAATCTCCAGGAAGCAACATGGACCTCCAAAAAATAAACGCCGTTGGACGGATGGAGACATTTCTGCCGACGAAACCGCTGGCAGAGCTGACTCCTGGAAGTCAATTTAACGTAACGAAACTTCGTAAGGTCCAGACCAAATATGGAGAGAGAATTGTTGCCGAATTGGAGAAGAGTTTCAACGTCTTCTTACCTGCTCGATTTACAAAGGCTTTTGAAAGTGACAGCGCCACCTGGTTGGCAATGCAGGAAGCAACAGTCAACAAATTGTCCATGAAATATATTGGAGGAGTTTATAACAACATTGAATTTAAAATCAATGTATAAATCTTACGTCTATTTATAAAGATTAAAATTTTTATGTATTTATATGTATACTTTAATAAAAATTAAATATATATTAAAATTTACCTTGTTTTTAAATACTTTAATACTCTTCTGTATAAATTAGAGAAATAGTAACACATATACAGATAAATTAATTAAGGTATATTAACTGGGGAAATAATAAGCTTCTTTATTACAAAAAAATATATTTTAAATATATTTATCAATCTTTGTTACAAATATGTACGATACGTTACACAAAATGTATATTTTTACGAATTTACATTTGTTTGTTAGGAAGAATAATAACTAAAAAAAATACTACACATCAGAAACTTTCTATAATGAATAAAAGTAGAAACACAAAAAAACAAAAAAAAATGAAAATAAAAACATAAGTGATAAATTATGAACAAATCAAGCACACACTAATGAACAAAAAAAAATTTTTTTATAAAAAAATGCGTTTTCTTAAAACGTGTTTGAAATCATAGAAAATTTTCTTCATCATCAGAAGACAAGTACAATTGAACGTGTAAAGGGTGAACAGATAGATCTAATGGAATGTTTGGTTCATCAACTAATGAAGGTAGTGGTGGTGGTGGAGGTACTGGTAGTTGCATGCGCTCTAACAGTGACAGCTGTTTTATTGGTACAGGTGCATGTTCTGGAGGTGTTGGTGGTAGTGGTGATAATGGTGGTTGTATCATTGTAGGTGCCATTGTTTCAAATATTTGATGAATTGTTGGAGTTAGTTGTTTTTGTTTTATTTTTTTAGTAGATTTGTTTTGTGCTGTTTGAGGTTTCGTTACTTTCTTATTTTTGGGTTTCATGTTTTGAGTAGATTTGCTCTGTGGTTGATTTTTCGTTTGCTTTAATTTTTTTGCTTTTGTCCCTTGAGTTGATTGATTTTGCTGTGACATTTGTTTTCCTGTCTGAGATTTTGCTTTTTGCTGTAATAAGTTTTGTAATTGTGCCTTTGTTTTCATTGGTGGAGGATTTTCTAATAATCTGATTTGTTTGAGTTTGTTGTTGTTTACCTCAGTTACTTTGCGTTTATAATTGCCAACTAATGTATTACCCTGTCCATGATTAGTTGATTTTATCGAACAGGAACTGTTCACGCTTTCTGAAGTTGAAAGAGATTTCATTTCTACATCTGATTTTATTCTCGATGTATTTGGAAAATTTTCAATTATAGCTGCTGTCGAACTGGAACTGTTACCGTATTCTGAAGTTGAAAGAGATGTCGTTGCCGTATCTGACCTTATTCTTGTTTTATTTGGAAAATTCGCATCCTGTTAAAAATGCAATTATAAGAATTTTTTATAATGATGGAGATTTATAAAATATATTGTAAGATGTATAATATTTATATTTAAGCTTACCTGGGCATCTATTTTTTCATACTTGTCTGGTAGTATTTTGTTGATTTGCGGAACACTATGATTTTGTCGCAACTGTTTACCTATTTCTTCGAGCAAACTTTCTTTTTGTCGAATTTTTGTTAAAGCAATTTCCATTTGTCTAATTTCTGATTTAATTTCCAGTTGTTTACAAATCTGCACAATATCAGTCAATTTAAATTAGTATTTCTACAGTATAGAGAAGAATTTAATATAATATAATAATAATAATAATATATTAATTATATTATATTAATTATTTATTATTATTATTATTATTATTATTATTATTATTATTATTATTATTATTATTATTATTATATTTAATTTATTAAATTAAATATAAATGATGAGCTTACCTCGTCATCTATTTTTTCGTATGTATCTGCTAATCTTTTGTTGATTTGTGGAGTATTACAATTTTGTTGCAACTGTTCACCCATTTCTTCGAGCAGACTTTCTTTTTGACGAATTTTCAAGAGAGAAATCTCCATTTGTCTGATTTCTTCTCTAATTTTTTCTTTCTTACGGATCTGTTTGATATAAAAGATTAAGTTTTATTTACTCTTATTTATACTGATTTTATATTTTGGAATAACCACCATGTTGGACATGGCTTTTCAGTTTAAGAAAGAGACGAGCTTGTATAAATCACATGCTGATCATGTTAAACATAAAGTTTTTTATCACATTCCTTTAAAAGTTATTAATCTTACCTGGTCATCTATTTTTTCATACATTTCTGCTGTTTTTTCGTCGATTGGCAGTATATGATAGTGTAGCACTTTTAAATCAATTGGTGCCCGTTTCATCTTTCGTGGATCAGTGAGAAAAATGCTTTTTATTACCTCCGTTCGATAAGTAACAGCATACTCAGGTTCGTTGATTTTTTGGTCTTCTTCCATGGTTACTTTTCAATAATATAAAAAAACAAAAAAAAAACGAATTTCCTTCAAGAGACAGTCACTTTCCTAGTCATTTCATACTTTAAACTAATCAAGAGCGTGTTTCCAAAGTAAGATAAGTGTAAAGTTGCATCCATAACCTTATTGGTTATTTCCAATAGTACAACACCAATGCGCTTAAACTTGTCCACGAATAAAGGCCTAAGCACAATAGCTTCGCGAACGTGACCAATGCGCTTAAACTTGTCCACGAATAAAGGCCTAAGCACAATAGCTTCGCGAACGTGACACGTGAGTTAAAAAAAAAGGACAGAGATATATTCGTATCCTTTTCTATCTCATGCATCTCGTTCGCGAACCTATTGTGCGTTGGCCTTAAATGTATTTGGGTACAGTCACAGCTAAAAGGTACAATGGCGCCGCTGTGGAGAGAAGGTGAAGCAAAGTTGAGAATGCGAGTCGACTATCAGCATGAGGAGACCAATGAACGAAATTGTATGCCAGTGAATTTAGTTTGGGTTTTTATTTATGTTTTAAAAATATTATTTCTATGTTCGTTGCAGTATTAAGTATATTTCTGAAAGATTTTTAAAATATTTCTTTATAAGTGTATTTTAATAATTGAAAAAACGTTACAAAGTGATATAAACTGTTACAAAGTATGTGATATTTTTTTTTGTTTTTCGTTGCTTTTATTCTCTGGTATAAGAATGCTAGCGATGGTTCCTCGAATGAAAATGTCTAAGTGATGGTGTCTAGGTGATGGTAGTCAGGATCATCTTGACGTCTTGGTCGATGGCATAACCTACGTTTTTGACAATTTTGACAATCGTCTGTCTCAACTTCGTCATATTGGTGACGATTTCTCCTTGTCGAACAATGTCGACTGCAAAATTTACGTCTAAAGCATTTTCCGCATTGGATATAAAGTAAATTAATAAAATTCAATATTAGCGTCAAAAATCGCGAGGGAAACAAAGGAATAGCATCACCACCGTGGAGACAAACTAGAAAAGAATTAAAAACTAGGGACGATCATCATGATAAATAGACCAGTGACATATTAGATTTAGAGTAGCGCCAGAGATTTTTCCATACTATTATTTTACTTTAATTATTTTTTTTAAATTTTGTGAAATTAATAGAAAGAAATATATTGCAAATTTTACATCTTTTATTAAAATTTTCTTTTTAATCACAAAATTTTGTTTTGTGAATGTGTAAGTAATCGTTTGTTAATGCAGTGTTTTTTAGGTTATTAATTATGTAAACGATGATGGTGGTAGTAATGTCTATCAGGTCGATGATGATGACAAGTGACTCTTCTCTGGCATCGTCTGCATAAGTCCTGTTGAATACTTGATAAACATCGTCTACAAGGGTCAAAACGAATCATTCTCCTTAAACATCGATGACATGATGGTTCATCATCAGAAACTGCTGCGTCTGGTGTTGTCGGTGGTGTTGGAGAAGGCACTTCTCCTTGTATTGTTTCAAACGCAACAGGCTAAAAAAAAAATTTTTTGTTTTAAAATTTAGCTTAAACTTTAATTTACGTTACTAATAATCACAAAATTTTAAAGTAATTACATTTTCAACTTCCATGTTTTGGAATTGTTCTAGAGTAACTCCAACATGTAATAACATTTCATTTATATCTTCTCCGGTATTATTTAATTCTAAAAAATCCTCCTGTGACGTCTGCGTTGAAGCATTTCGAACCCAGACGACATTGACAGGCTCCACTACGTCATCATCAACGGCGGCATCATTAATCGGAAACTCATCGAGAGCTAAACCATAAAACTGGGCATTATCTTCTATGACATTCGATAAATCGATGAAGATGGGTTCATGAGTCTCTTTCTCGTCGTCGTCTGAAATAATAATGACTGTTTCCGCTTGACTTAGATTCTCCTCCGGTTGCTCCATCTTTCTGCTTGTCGTCCAGTGGTTCAAGAAGTGAAATGCCAGGCTACTGCTCCCGTTTATATACCCTAGACTCCCTCTGTCAGGAATTGCCACCACCTTTTTCACTCAGGGCCGTATATACAACGGGTTCAAGAAGGCCCCCATATTTATTTTATTTTTTTTTATTTATTTTATTTATTTATTTTATTTATTTTATTTATTTTATTTATTTATTTTATTTATTTTATTTATTTTATTTATTTTATTTATTTTATTTATTTTATTTATTTTATTTATTTTATTTATTTTATTTATTTTATTTATTTTATTTATTTTATTTATTTTATTTATTTTATTTATTTTATTTATTTTATTTTATTTATTTTATTTATTTTATTTATTTTATTTATTTTATTTATTTTATTTATTTTATTTATTTTATTTATTTTATTTATTTTATTTATTTTATTTACATAAAAAAATATTGAATTAAATTAACTAAATATTAAATACAAATAATAATTATAAAAATGTATAACTAAATAAATATGTAACACGACAAACAAGCAGGGGGGGGGGTTGCATAAAATAATAATTTATAATATTCAATATTTATTCTTATTAGTTAGTTTGAACATAATTAAACATTTAATTATACGATACCCCCAATCGATTTAAAAGTCCCCATGGAAGGGTATTCCCTAGGAATGGGTACCCTACTTGGTCGGTAAAACAGATCCCTACCTTACCAACTGAGTCAAAATTCATGTCAGGAATCTACCTTACCGGCTGATGGTAAGTTACCGGCTGATGGTAATGCAGAAATCTGCAATACCGACTTTTTAAACTGACTTCAAGTGATTGTGGCGCCATCTAGCGGCAATTACTGGAACCAATTACCAACCGACTATATGCTACAGTGGCGCCATCTAGCGGCAACTACTGGAACTAATTACCAACCGACTATATGCGACAGTGGCGCCATCTAGCGGCAACTACTGGAACTAATTACCGACCTCAAGTGGTAAAGTAGGAATCTACATTACCGACTGAGGGTAATTACCGACCGACGGTATGCGACAGTGGCGCCATCTAGCGGCAGCCGCCGGAACTATGTCCTCGTAGTGACATAGCTATACTACTAATTAATTTTTTATTACATTAATTAAGTAATAATTTTATTTAATTATTATTTAATTAATTATGTAATTAAATAATACATTATTAATTATTAGTTCATTAATTATTTAATTAAATAATAAATTAATTATTTGATTAATTATTTATTATATGTAAATTTTATTTTTGAATATTAATTCAATAAATAAAACTTTCAATTAAATTATAACCAAAAATTTTATACTTTAATAGAAACTAAATTTTTAATTTTAAAACTTTAATATAGAGATTATTAAATAAAAAAAAGAACAAATTTTTTTTTTGAAGAGAAACTTTTATTGTCTTTTGATAAGTACTAATTAAAATGAGGAAGTAGGGTAAAGTAAACTTAAAATTATTTGACTAGGAGCATTAGAGTCTGTAATTTCAAGTTCGATCAAAGTTGTGCGAGTTCCGTTAATTAGGAGGAGCCGAAGCGCCAAACCGCAAAGCGTTGGTGAATCTCTCTCTCTCTCTAACTTCATATATAGTGTGTATATACGCTTTTGGCAGCATCTAAGACTGAAGATGCAATAATTACTAGTTTCAACTATCATGATACGCTTATCGGTAGCACATACATTTTGATATCAGTGATTAAAAGAAGATCAAGGTCAAAAATTACCATCATTGCACGTGCAAACAAATTATCTTGTCTAAAAATGACAATTAAAATATTTATTTCACTCGTTCAATGTAAAATTTTAATAATTTACTAATTAAAATCTCAATGAATTATTAATATTCATTTTTTCCCAAATCACCTCCTTTATTTTTAAATTAATTTTATTCTATTTTTTTTTTCATTATCTCGAACGAATAATTAAGAAAAACAAATTATTTTTTTCAATTCGAAAAAAATATTTCAAATGCAAAATTTTATAATACAAATCAAAAAAAAAGTGTACCATAAAAAAATGGATAACTGGAATAATTTCGAAAGAGATACAGAAATATTGACAATCATTTTGTATATATATATATATATATATGCAATAAATTATGATAGCATTGAATCATATTGAGACCACTACTAATAATGCGTGAGCACAATAATTTTAATTTCAAATTAAATGAATTTTTAATTCTACTTCACAACTGGTTTTTCATGTTTATTTATAACGAGAATTATTCGTTTAAAAGCAAAAGAAGAATTAATACAAAATCAAATGATAATCTAAAGAAAAAAAAAAAATTTTCTAGACAAAAAAAAATTTGTAATGAAAAATTAATTCGAATATATTGCACTTAAAAAATCATCATTGTAGAAAATTATATTTCCATTACGAGTTATTAAAAAAAAAAAAAAAAAAAAAAAAAGTAGGTACCAGTTATGAAAATTTTCATTAAAAAAATATTTCATCATCAGGTAATAAATTCCGATATAACAAACGTAATAATATATAAAATGAAAAAGATTTTTAAAAAAATTAAGTAATCATGAAAATTTATGCAATGTAATTAGTTTGCAATTCTCCACATATGATAATAATAATTAATTGAACAATTCGGATAATTACTTATAAAAATGTTAATATATCCCTAATTAAAGAAATCGTTTTTTCAAAAAGCAATTAAGAAAATCAATTATTTAATTGTAATTATCAACGATTGGGGAAAAAAAATACGATTTAAACTTATATATATACTATATCGATTAAAACTACATCTACCAATGACTATTAATTTTTACTATTAATTAATAAATAATTAATAATGATTAAATTTACAACCAATTATAAAAACTGCTGTAATTAAAGTTACGATTTATAATTACCATGAACTATTTTTTATTAATTAATTGCCATTAAATATAATTATCATTGAATATAATTAATAATGTAATTAATCATTTAATGCAATTTAATTATTTCATATAATTAATCATTTAATGGTAATTTAATTAATTAAAATTTTTAATCAAAAATTTTCAATTTTTCTGCAATGGCATTTTTTGAAAAAATACATTTTTTATGGATTCAATTTCTTTAACGAAAAGAAATTTACGAAGAAAGAAAAACAATTGTAAAGTGCCACCCAGAGAAAAGATTTTTTTGATTTAAAGAAACCAGTTTCTTTGATTTGTTTTCTTTCATTTAAAATAAAATTTTCTTTGAAACAAAAAAACCTTCTTTCGCATTCAAAGAAAATTTCTTTGATTCAAAAAAATTTTTTTTAAATGAAAGAAATTTGTGCATTAAATCGAAGAAATTCTAACATTGATATAGAGTCAAAGAAACATTTATTTGAATTAAATAACAAATTTCTTTAAAACAAAGATAATTTTTTTTGAATCAAAGATAATTTGTTTAAAACAAATAAATTTTCTTTGAATCAAAGAAATCTTTTTTCTCGGTGTGATTTATAAAATTTGCGATAACAAAAAAAAATTTTTTTTTTCCTACTCCAAAAGGCATTTTTAAAAAAAATCATTGATAATGATTAGAAATAAAATTGCGTCCTCTACATTTAGAAGACGAATCAAATAAAAATGACCGCAACAATTGAATCGTTTGACCCATGTTTATTGATAAGTTTGTCACTCGTGTGTCTGGGAAATGTGCCAGTGTGCCTAGGTTTTATATGAACACAGTCTTGTTCTCGCTTTGCAAAATGCCAGTCAATCAAGACCTTAGTTTTTCTTAAACATTCAAACGGTAGCGACGCAAATTTTTCATTTTCTTACTTTTATTTTCTATAATTTCCCTTTTTTTCATTTATTAATTGTATATTTAAAAAAAAAATTAATTCCCCCTAAAAATATATCAATTTAACAAACGAAAATGTATAATTAAAACAATAGATCTGAAAATAGTGCGAACCTAATTTGTGTTGTGACTTGCATCCGGATTATTTTTGGCACAAAATCAAAATTCAAAAGTGTTTATATATTTAAATTAATTAATTATCAAAAAAGATAAACATTAACAATTTTTATTGTTAAAGTTTTTTTATATAATTATTATTAGCTATTTAATTCTTTTTTGATAATTTTTTTTTTTTCATTTTTGGAAAACAATTTATTCAATATGGTATCTGGAAAAAGTGGAAATGGTCCCTGGGTAATTGGTGAGGCACTGATTATAGTGATTTTATAGGCTGTGAGAGATTACATAATATGACATTTATAATTTTAGAATTCAAAGTGTGCGCGTGCTGTGAAAATTTGATGCGCGAAATTTATTCAAATTACATTTCTTTTTCACAGCTGGAAATGGAAGAACTGATGAATCACACGATTATGATAAAGCTATTTCCGAATCCGGTGAGTGATTTTTCTCAATAAATTAATTTTCAATTAATAAATCAATTAATTTATTAAGTAATTAATATTTTTAAAAAAATTTAATAATAATAATAAATAAAATATGTTTTATAAAATAAATTTTGAATAAAACATTTAACACTATTTTTTTGTTTGACAATATAACTTGAGGCTGTTGCACTTTTCAATATAAAAATAACGTAACTACTATAAATAAAATGAACCTTGAAATAAAGGTCAGAAGATAATAATAATTATTATCTTGAACTAGTTATTATTACCTCATTTTGAATATAATTAAAAAAAATATATACTTGACCATGAGAAAAAAATTATAAAAAAATAAAATTATGAATAAAAATTTTCAATACTCAAATAATTCATTAAAGAATAATAATCATTTAATGTCAAGTAGATAATTTTTTTTCAGAAATTTTAATTCAATAAAAATTAAATGATAAAAACTTACAATTTTAATGAATTCCCTCGAACGAAGACTACCAACCTCCGGACAGATGATAATCTTCAAGTCATTTTTCCCCGGAGATCCCTCCTCTAGGTTAAAATCCAAATTTGGAAAAAATAATCCTTACAAGGAGACCGAGTTTTAATAACTTAAATTTCTCATTTACCGGAAGCTGGATTTTCTGCCAAATATAGTCCACGAAATTAGTGAAACTGAAAAAGAGAAATAATAATTAATACAACAATTGCATAAAATAGAAAAAAAAATAGAAAAAATTAATAGAATAAAAAAAATTTATTTGATTCAAGTAATCGATTCCTTAACTATTGTCAAATAAATATTTAGTAAATAAATATTTTAAATTGAATTAAATTAAATATACTGTATTTGGACCAATAATTTTTGTATTTGAAACAAATACCATTGACTCAATAATTAAATATTTATTTTTCAGTTACTGATTATTTGAATCAAATAATTTTTTTTTTTCCGTGTAGAACAAGAATGTAATATCAATTTTTGGAAAATGACAATTCGATGGATTCTATACGAATAAAACAGTTTACTTTTTAATTCCAGTGAAAAAAAACACATTACTAAACCAAATAGTAGAAAATTACTAAAAAAATTAGTGCAAATTTCTACTAATTTGAATTAGTTAATTTCCGACCAATTCAAATTTAAAAGAGAATATTATCCGTGGAAGCCATCGAATTAAAAACGAATAAAAAAATTTTTTTTTTTTATTTATTTTCTATTAGATTTTTTATCGAAAATTTATGATCTTTAATATCTAATTCCAAGGTTATGGACTCTACAATATATTGCTGTTATTGGCCTTTCTACCAGCTGGATGGTCAGCTGTATTTGACACAACAAGTCCAGCATTCATTTTACCCGCGGTTGAATGTGTTTTTGATCTCACACTATTTCGAAAGGGTGTCCTAGTATCAATTGTATACATAGGTAAATATATAACTTTTTTTTTTAAATAAAAAAAATATCTATAATTATTTTTTTCATCATGTCACGAAAAAAACTTTTCTCCCAAATTAATATATATTCACATTTTGAAAAACGATATGATAAAAGTTCTCTTGATGTGTTTTGCGTGTGATGGACACGGAAAATTTTTGTAGATTCTGCAAGATCGTGAAAAAAAAGTGTGTGACTTAATTTAAGCACGTACATACACTATCGCGCATTTATGTTCCTTTTTCACGTAGATTCATTTGACGCTTTTTTTTTTTGGAGAACATCAAAAATTGTGTGTCGTAAAAACTCGACTTTCAAAAGTTATATCAACTTTAATAAACATGATTCATCTCTCTCTCTCTTTTTCTCTGTTCAGTATTTTCTACTCCATATATAATAAAATATTATATAAGTCGTGAATCTGTCAAAAAAACGCCATGCAATTTTCTTTCAAGTTTCTTATATATATATTTTTTTATATTACGTGTATATTTTAGTTTTAATATACTCAATTTATAAATTAAATGTTCCCTTTTTTTTCGTGAAACTACATTTTTTCGATATCAACTATTTTCAAAGCAAAAACAAAAGAAAAATTTTTTTTTTAGAGAAAAATTAGAATTATTTTTTTTTTGTCTCTAAATTTTCACAGGGATAATTGTGTCGGGAATCCTGTGGGATTTTATGCTACAAGAGTCGTTGATAAATCATCTCGGAAAGCGAAATTTGCTCCTTTTAGGATTACTGGTCGACTCAATTTGTAATATAACGAGTGCTTTTGTTGACTCTTACTTCGTGTTTCTTCTACTGAAATTCATCAGCGGTGTAATGTGAGTAGGTAGCAAAAATCGTAAAAGTAATTTCAAAATTTCTTTTCAAGTTTAACAAAAAAAAAAAAAATAAAATAATAAACATTTTTTTTATTCGAATCCAAATATAATGTATATTTAAATTTAAAAAAATATATTTTTCTCAAAGATATATATTTCTCTCGGAAACCAAATAAATATTTATTTTAAATAAATTTTAATTGGTTCAAATAAAAAATTTTATTTCCCTCAAATAAAATATTTTATTTATTAAGAAAAACAAGAAATGATATTTAATAAATATTTTATTATGAAAAATAAATACTGATTATAAATAATTTGGTTGCAGTGTTGGTGGACCATTTACAATATTGTTACCATATTTGGCAGAATTTCATGCTCCAAAATATCAATCTCAATTTACCAGATGGGCTGGATTTGTTTTCGGAATTTCTCTTATGATTCCAGCAGGTAGAATTTATTTTATATTTAAAAAAAAAAGAATATTTTCTTTTTCTAAAGGATTTTTGTTTTTTTTCTTTACAGCAATTGCATTCAACGTTTTGCCATACAGTTCACCTTTTTCATTTCAAATTTCTGGAGGTGCTTTTGCAACATGGCAAACATATCTTTTAATTTGCTCAATTCCATCAGTTCTTGGCCTAATAACAATGTCATTTACACCGGATAGTCCAAAACTTTTGATGTCCGATGGTAGTTATCAAAAAGCATTGAAATCATTAAGAAGAATTTATTCCATGAATACATGGAAGTCTCCTAAATTCTATCCGGTAATATTCGTAATTTACTGATTGAATTACCGCCCGCGCGTTTAATTAGGAACAATGCTCCCAGTTTCAAAAAGTTTATTCCCTCCAAAAAAAAAAAAAAGACAGTAATTAGGAAAATTAATTACTGTCAATTTTAATTAAAAATTTTATCCCTACTCTTGATAAGTGACAACTTGTTAAATATTTCTAAAATTATAATAATTTTCGCTTTTTGTAAGAAAAGCAGAAAAAAATACAGTCGATTCTCGTTAATTTCCCATCTTTTTTTTTTTAATCTGTGTCTCACTTATCAAAGTGTAACTGTATTATTAATAACTAATTTTTGAAATTTTCAAAAAAAAAAAAAAACAGGTCAAATTACTGAGGATTAAAGAAACACAGGTGGAAACAGAAAATGATTTAACAGTGAAAAATCAAATTCAAAAATCGTGGTCCAATACAAAAACACTTTTTTCAATGCCATATTTATCGCCTCTGTCAATTCTCATTTTTCTTCAATTTGGAAGCATGCTTGGGTACGTTTTGATAAATATTTCTAAAAAAAAAATTTTCAACTAAATTTCTAAAAACTACACTGAAAAAAAAATTTATTTCATTCAAATACCGGTGTATTTGGTTATTATCAAATAAATATTTACTTGAATCAAATATTTCTTATTTGAATCAAATATTTATTATTACCATTTATTTGATTCAAATAAGAAATATTGGATTCAAGTAAATATTTATTTGATAATAACCAAATACACCGGTATTTGAATGAAATAAATTTTTTTTTCAGTGTATATAAATAAATTTTTTAAAAATATTAAATCTTGAAAGAAAATTTCCAGTGTAAAATGTAAACAAAAATCAAATTATTAATTTAAATATGAAATTACATACTATAAAATAGCTCTCTCTCTCGCGTATTTATATAAAAGCTAATTAAAATGTTTACTGAAATGTCGTCGTTTGGAAACAATATTATATATATATATATACATTTTAGTATAAATTTTGAGCATGTGACATTTAGTCATATGTAATTAAATTTTAGCGAGATTCGCAACATTTAGCCGTGCGAAACGACGCATGATTTGCTGACGCGCGCGGTCGTGCTTTACAGGTTAAATACCATGAGATTATGGGTGCCGCAACTTTTCATCATGCTCAACAATTTTGGCAGGAAAATACGTCACGCATATCCATCATCAAATGAGACATTTACCATGTGTGAAATGTTAGTTCCAAATAGATTTCCAATGTTTAATAACATCAATAATTACAGCATTCACACACAAACATGTGTACCGGTAAATATTATATTCCTTAAAAAAAAAAAAAAAAAACGGAAATTAATAAATTAAACATTAATATAAAGTAAATTTTATTATAATTAAAAAATTAAATTTTATTCAATTTACTAAAATTAATTTTATTAATTTTAATAATTAAAAGATTGAAAACACTTGATTTCTTTTTATAATTATATTACAGTCTCATATTGAAGCTGCTGTATACATTAATTCTACAATTATTGCAATGTCAACTGTGGTGTTTGCCTTCCTCGCTGGATTTATACTGACAAGTCGAACAAGGAAAGAAATTATAATTCGTGAGTCATAATTAAACTCAATATTATTTCGTTCAATGATTATTTTTTAAGAAACTAAAACAATTTTAACAAATTTGATTAATTTAAATACTTTTTCTATTTATGTTAATTTCTCAAAAGTTTATCTATTAATGACTGTTTTTTTAAAAATAAATGCAAATAATAAAAATATAAATAATAAAAACAGTACTACTAACAATAATAAAAATAATACAAATAAAAATAATAATAATAATAATAATAATAATAAATATTCGATATTTCCAGTTTTGATGTTTATAATCGCAATTGTATGCAGTTTTGGCGTCAATTGGGCGCAACTAGTGCCATATATGTTGACATTATCTGCCGCTATCGTTGTAACGATGAGAATTGCTGGTAACATCGTTCTTGCAGTAAATGCTGAAGTAATACCAGTGCCATTAAGGTAATTAGACTACATAACGTAGAAAAAAATGAATTAACTAATTACTTAATTAATCAAGAAACACAATTGTCTTTTCTTTTATATATCCATGAATATTTCCATTAATAATTATAAATTATTTATTATTATTATTCTGTATTATTATTAATATATTTATTTATTATTTATTATTATTATTATTGTTATTATTATTATTAATAATGACTAATGGAATATTGTAATATTTCATCATGATGTTTTACTGTTGAATATTTTATAACTTACGATGCATATATATATGGTGTTATAATAGTTATAAAGTCACATGCATGTTATACTCATAAAATAATGCACACAAAAGTCATATAAAGGCACTACGTTTTTGAGAGCGAGTAGCTATATTGAACATTATCATATAAAACGATCGTTTCGAAATTTTCATCTTTCAGATCCACCGCAGTCAGCATTGTCAATCTGATCGGAAATTTTGCCGCTGTCGTTGGCAATTTCGCATTTTCAAGCCTCCTCGATGCCGAATGCGTCGCTGCATTCATGTCCATGGGATGTTTAATGCTTGGTAGATTTATTCAATCAATTATTATTATTTCATTTTTTTTTTTTTTTTTTTTTTTTTAATTGTACATTTTAATTAAATCATTTTTATATTTTTAGCCTGTGCAACTATTGTCTTCATTTTGCCAAAGCCATTGAAACCACCTGAAATAACTACAAATACCGATGAAGAAAGATATTGAAAATAATTTTTTTTTTTTTTAAGTAGATAAATGACAAAAAATTGTGATTTTGTAAAAAAAAAAAAAAGAAAGTGCAAAGTATTATATACATATATAATGTAGAACCAAATGTGATTTAGGAAATTGAATTTTTATATTATAGATTGTAGATGATTTTTTATATTTAAATTTTATAAAGAAAATCTATTGATAAATATTTTAATATTATTATTTTTAATTCAATTTTATAATAAAACGAACAAATTAAAAGCTCAATATTGTAAAAACAGTTTAGTATAATTTAAAAATAGTAAAATTACTTTTATAGATTTACTTCAATTATTATTAAAAATAAAATGTTTACTATTGTAAACAATTTTGTTGCAATTGTTATAAAAATAAATTTTTATTATATATATATATATATATTTTTATCAAATTTTTATGGCAACTGACAAAAAAAAATGTTATTTTGCAATTACGTTCCAATACCGTGTTTTATATGATATTTGAGAAACAATATATTTCAGAGTGTAAATGCAGATAGAAAATCAATGAAAAGTTTTTATTGGAAACTTTATAAATTGGTTTATGTGGAATGACGTAAAATATGATACTGCCAGCGATGTGTCACTCGTTGTGAAAAGAGCTGATATAATTCATAGTATGTTTAATAAAAAAAAAAAAAAAAAAAAAAAATATGCGAATATTTCATGCCAGTTACTGTGGCCACTGAAATTTTTTCATCATTGTCCACTAGAAACTAAAAAAAAAAAGTTTATTCAATTAATAAAATATCTAATCTCTCTATCTCTATCCATTTTTACTTCAATTATTGAAATTTTTATATACAGACTTTTTTTTATACAATACATTTAATTGTTCTAATAGAATTTGTTTAATGTATATTTAAAAATATATTAAAATTAAATTCAAAAATATTTTTTTTTTTATTAATTATTGTTTTGATTTGTTTTGTTTAAAAGATCAGTGCGACTATAAGATGAAGAGATAATATTTTGTTGAAAATGAAAATTAATTTACTAGATTCAATGTATTATGTATTAAGATTATATAATATATACACTTGAATAAAGCTTCAGGATATTTTATGCCTAAGAAAATGTGTGTGTGGATTAAATCCAGTTCGTAAGCTTCCAATATGGCGTTCCTTATGCATATTCACAGGAAACTTGACTGTAAACAACCAGAAGGTCTGCCTAGAGCTAATTAACTAACATTGTAAACAACCAGTAATGTCCCAATTTACCCCACGTCCTTTCGCATTAGAGGGGTCTTGTTGCATCAAGTGTTATCGTTTCAATTTCCCATTCAATTTTCCCAATAAAATTTATATATTCAATTTAATTTTTCTTCTTTTTTCCATTTCTCACGCTCTTTATTATTATATACCTATTTTTCTTTATAATAAAAATAAAGGACTCAAAAGAAAGAAAAAAAAATTACATTCCTTTTTTCATCCAAGCATCTTGGCAAAAATTGTGCGAAGTGTACCTCTAATGGTGATAAAAGTGTTGGGAAGACAGTAGAATTAATGACAGGAATTTATTGTCAGAAAGAAACTAGAAAATGCCATATAAGTACTTTATGAGAAGCTATACGATTTTAGAATAAATCAAATTTAAAAGAAAATAGGATTTAAATTATTATCTCTCTGTAACTGAGACAGATACAATAATAACACTACAACTGGTTTGCAGTAAAAATTGCGTTATTGGGATACAGTTATAACTCTGTAACTGAGACAGGCTGGTAAATAAAATAAGTTTGCAGTAAAAACTACTTAATTGGGATACAGTTGTACCTCTGTAAGTGAGACAGGCAGATAAATACAGCTAAGATACTACACTAACAACTGAGACAGGCTGGTAAATAAAGTAAGTTTGCAGTAAAAACTACGTAATTGGGATACAGTTGTATCTCTGTAAGTGAGACAGGCTGGTAAATAAAGTAAGTTTGCAGTAAAAAACTACGTAATTGAGATACAGTTGTACCTCTGTAAGTGAGACAGGCAGGTAAATACAGCTAAGATACTACACTAACAACTGCCCAACTGGGATACAATTATAACTCTGTAAGTTTGCGGTAAAAACTAAGTAATTGGAATACAGTTGCACCTCTATAAGTTAGACAGGCTGGTAAATACAGCTAAGATACAATAACTCTATAATTGGTTTACAATAAAAACTGGGATACAGTTACACCTCTGTAAGTGAGACAGGCTCGTAAATAAAGCTAAAATACGTTTGGTTTACAGTTAAAACTGCATAACTGAGATACATTTAGAGAGTTATATAAACCTTTTTAGTAAAAATGAAACTAGAATACAGTTATAACTCAATAAGTTAGACTCGAAATAGTAATTATATTACGATAACATAAGTAATATACACAAGAAACTGCAATTTAGAAACCAATATACATAAAATTGTAAATTTATACTTTTGGGATACAGTAAAACCTCTTTAACTGGTTAATGTCCAAAAAGACATAGTTAAATGGAGTTTTGATAGTATTACTTTAAGTAGTATGAGATTTGAGAGTATAAAGACGCTATCCACCCTAGTGTAAAACTTTCCCTGAATGAACTTTGATATATATATATATATATATATATATTTTAGTTATTGCCAGCTGCTCTCATTCAATATATATATATATATATATATATATATATATATATATATATATATATATATATATACTTATGTTTCTCAAAGCGAATTTGCAAAAGGGGAATCCATTTAGAGTTCAAATATTTGAAATTTCTGAATAGTGCCTGCTTCCATTATGATAGCTTTCTGCATTCAAAGACAAAGCACATTATACAAGTTTTTAATTAAAATTTTTGTTTAACTTGCATCCTAATAATAAAGTAATTAGCCGTTAATAAAATGCATTACATACAATGTGAATGTTAGGTATTTATTTATTAATTTCAAGAAATTAGAGAAAATAATAATATTAATATAGAAAATATATTTTTTTTTAATTTAATATATATTTTTATACATACCGTATTTATTCACTTTTATAATTCACAAATTCACTTTTATACACAAAAAATACTGTGAAAAACAAATTTAAAAAAAAACGCGTATTTAAAACTAAAGTTTTTGCTTTGAAAATAGTAGAATCTATTTTATTAATTTTATTGTATTCAAGAAAAATGTTAACTTAAAAGAATAGAAGAAGAAACTTTAAAGACTTCACACGACGCCTATGGACAAAAAGACCGACACTAGGCATAACGTACCAGAATGTTTCCAGTATTTTCAAAATATCAATCTTATTGTAAAAATTAATACCTAATATCAGATATTGTCACTGTTACAAAAAAAAAGGACTCACCGATCGTTGTTCTTCTCACCAGAGCCAATCATCACCCTTCTTTTGAACAAGTTTCAAGAATCTGAAAATATAAAAGAAAATTCATATAAAATTATTGTTTCAATATAATAAAATAAAAAATTTTAATATAAAATTTTCCTTTTTACATGATATAATAAATTTTTTATCAAAATATTGAAAAATATGACGAAATGTAAAAAACACAGAAAGCGAAATAAATGCTGTATGTTATTTCCATTGGTTTATAGATGCAATAATAGGGGTAAAGGGAGAAGGGGGAGGGGGAGAAGGGATGAAATATAAAAGTAGAAAACGATATGGCAATATAATAGTATAAAGGAATACATTTGGGGTTTGGCTTCATGTCGAGGTATGGAACTACTGTTTTATCGGCTGGACGTGACATCTACACACCGCTTCTTTACTCTCGTTATATTATCGTCCTGTGTAAAATATTACTACCCGGACATGGTGCTTTAGCTGTTATTGCCACGCTGACCCATTTTGCCAACTGACCCCGATACTGCGGGGGTAATACAACCATATACCAAAAGAAAAGTTCATGATGAGATTTTTTTTTACGATTCTGCAAACATGTTCTCTCACGGTTTTGACTTTCTTTTTTTTTATGGTTTATGACTCGATTTCAAATGAAAAAAAAATGAGTGGATTATGTTATTTTTACTTTTTACTATAAAAACTTATTTTCTAAATTGTTGCGTTTAAAAAAAATTTTTTTTTTTTACTTTTTAATTATTATTATAATTTTTAAATTTTTTCTCATATTAAAAAATGTAAATTAAGTTTTTTTTTATTTTATACATAAAAGTCAATATTTTTGAAATATATTAAAAAAAAAAAATTTAAATAACCGAGAATAATGTTTGAATTATAAACAAAATGAATTATTTATTAATAATTGAAAAATTAAAAAAGTTTCCATAGTCTACTGCTCTTATATTTCATTTCTGAAAGCTTCTAGTAAAATATCGATTTACTCGTTGGATAAATGAATCCCTTTAGCTACCAAAGATACATAGTTTAACCAAAAAAATTTTTTTTTTATTTAAAAAAAGGAAAAGTTTAAAAAAAAATTTTAATTCTTTCTTTAAATAAAAATAAAAAAGAAAATAATAGAAATTAAAAAACATAATATATCAAAAGAGTCGTCGGTAATTTATCAACCAATTTCTAATTTATCGAATCAGGGATTTTTTTTACAGTTTTTCAAGAATTAAAAGTGAAAAACAAAAAAAATGTATAAAAAAACATTTCAAAAAAAAAATTTATATATAACAAGTTTAAGAAAAGAAAATATTTTACTATATTAAAAAAATTAATAATTCAAGTATTGTAACATATTTTACAATATTGAAATTAACTTTTCGTGCCTGATGCACATTTATAAAAATTTTAATATATTTCGTAATTTTATGTCCGAAAATAAAAATGTCCTTTAATAGGTAAAATTATCAAACTCACCCACCAAATGGACATTAAATTTTAATTTTCATTATAACATCGCCAAGGAGTGGTGACTTAATATACATTATATAAATATTTTAAAATAAATTTTACCTAATTGCATGAAAAAAATATTATGACTTACAGAATTTTTTTGCAACAACAGACAAATTAATATAAATAAATTTATAAATAAATTGAATATTTTGATCATTTTCATTAAATATTTTTTCTTTCCATTTAGTTAAAAATTATTTTTTTTTTTATATTAAAACAACATTTGCAATTTTTCTAGTAGCATAAAATATTTTTAAAAAAATTAACAAAACAATTCATATACAAAAAAAAAACATTGTTTCCGCATATAAAACAAATGGCATTTCCGAAATAACGCATTTTGTATAAATTATTTATATACATATAGAGGAATAAATTATCCATTGGCCTTGGAATAAAATATGCTGAACCATAAATCTATTTTTGTTAAATTAACATACATCTGTGATGAGGTGCTTAAATATACACGCGAGCTTTCCTCCTCTCATCTACTTGTCCATGAAAAGTATAGAGAAGTCAATGGTTCAAGATTATATATAATAATGATGCTGCAAAAAGTGGACCAACCCCCTTTTTAATTTTTACGTCAATCAAATATCAAATATAAATCAGAATCGATTATTTCGAGCTAAATGAAGCATTAAAATGCATATAAGAATGCACACACACACACACATCAATGATACTTAAATAGAATATATACAAAATGTTTTTTTTATACAATGAAATTTAAAAAAATAAATAAATCTTCATTGAAATTTAATTAAATTAGTATTTAATAGAGATCTTTTAAAATCAATTATTAATTATTATTTTATATTAATTTATACGATATTGTTTCAAAATGAAATTTTTTCTAATAAAATATATTTTTATTACAATCTGTATATAATAAAAAAAATAAAAAAAAATAAAGAGAAAAGTTAATAAAAATTCAAAGCAAAAGGATTATTTTTAAAAATATATTATTTAGAATCATTTTTCATAGCAAGTGTTGACTTCGATCTGAACAATAGGTCAGACCGAAGGGGCAACATTTTTGCACCCACCAGTTATATATGTCCAATGAATATTCAAAAGTCAGAGAGTACGTTTTAAGCCGTAACATATATAATGATATATGTATCTATAAACATCTATTGACGTGTGTGCTTGTTATGTTCCAATTTACATTTTTTTTTTCTTTTGTTAATAAAAATAAAAAAATTATTTTTTTAAAAATAATAAAAATTTTTTTTTTCTAAAATAATAAAATTATTTTTTTAATAAAAATAAGAAATTGTTTTTTAATAAAAATAAAAAATATGTTTGTTAATAAAAATTATAAATATTAATAGCAATATATATTGTTATTTTGAATAACAATTTTTTTTTATTAACAGAAAAAAATTATTTAATTTCAAGAAAAAAAAAAAATAATAATGCACGTAGCATGTCATAAGTTAGGCATTGAATTATTTTGGTGCGCATTTTTAGAACTGCGTTTCTATGAAAAAAAAAAACAAATTTATCTTACATTGCGTGGACGATATGTTTCTTGTACTACGTATAGGAAAAGGGAGTGTGCAATCGTCTGGAATAAAATAATCGACTTCTTTGCAGACATTCAGAAAAAGTTATACAGAACCGTGAAAAAGTATAACCGTTCTAAAGACATTATAGAAATATATTTTATATAAAAAAAAGTATACTTTTTTTTAATTCAAATTTACTTCAAATTTTAAATACTTTGAATTGCAAATTAAAATAAATGCAATATTTTACTCGGTCTTTTTTTTGGTAAAATTTCCGCCAATAAAGAGAAATTCTAAATAAGGAATGATAAATTATTTTCGAATATTAAAAGTGGAAAAATCGATTTAATTCAATATATTAATTATTTATTTTTATTTTTAATAACAATGAAAAAATATTTATTTGATTCAAATAATTGGACTATTATCAAATAAATATTTATTTGTATTAAAATAATTATTATTTAAATCGTATTTGTTTAAAGAAATTAGTTTTCAAATACAATTTATTTAATTCAAATTTTTTGTTCAAGTAAATATTTATTTGATAATAGTCCGATTATTAGAAGTAAATAAATTTTTTTCAGTGTATTTAATAAATAAATTCTTTATAATTTGGAACTGAATGAATTATTTTTAACAGATTTAGAGATCATGTCAAAAAGTACATTTCATTGATGACAAATTATCGCATACTATAAATACACATTTTCAAAAGCAGAAATAAACTCTTCAAATTTTTTTTTCAAAAGAGTTGAAAAGGATTTCCGTTTAGGATTTTTAAAGAAAAGTGATAATGAGCTTTGTGTTTTTTTTTTAAAGATGTTACAAAATTTAATTTTGAATTCTGATAAAAAAATTATAAATCCTATATATATATATATAAATTTTTGATATAAGGATCGCTTTAAAATAGAAAATTACAAAAGATTTTAACATAAATCAAAAGGTCATCTCTCTTGGAAGTAATCAATATATAATATGCAAAGGGTGAGAAAAAAGTATTTCCCGACTGTCATTATTCAGAGGGGTGAATTTTAACGATAACAGTAAAAAATTATTGACTAAGTACATATGAAGACATTAAACTTGGGCGTTAGAATTTTCTCCCCTTAAAAAAAAAAAAAAAAATCAGGAAATGAATACAAATTTTTACATTAAGCAATGATTCATAATTTTCCACAGAAAAAAAGAATATTTCATCATTTTGATATATATCACATTTTTAAAATTTGAAAAACCAAATTTTTATCATACAAAAATGATTATAAAAAGAAAGATCTATTGAATTCAACTAATCGTTTACTTGATTATCAAATAAATATTTACAAATAATTTTTATTTAAATCTGTATTTGAACCAATATTTTCTGTATGTAAAATAAATACCATCTTAAATAATAATTATTTAAAAATATTTATTTAATAATGTAAACGATTATTTGAATCAAATAAAATTTTTTTTACACATTATTTTTCCAAGTTGAGTTTCCTTAAGTAATATATAATTTAATGCATTGTTGTTGTTTTTCATGACAGAATTAAATAAGTGCGAGATGTATTATTGTATTATATAAATAATGAATGAACATAAATCATAATTCTCAAGCGGGAAGGGGGTTTTGAAGAACTGTCGCTTTTTGAAAAGAAGAGCTTTTCTAGTATAATATATATATATATATATATATATATATATATATATAAATGATATATAAGTTTATACTAAACCTTTATGCTCAAAAAGGATTATAATATGCAGAGAGAGAGAGAGAGAGAGATATAGAGAGAGAGAAGGGTTGAAGAAGAAATGCGTAAAAGTGTCACGTCATTTGAAATTTATATATGTACGTGAAGAGCGAATTGTTTAAGAGAGAGAGAGAGGGGGAGGATTGTCTACAATAGTTATGGCTTTGGGGGTATTTTTGTGTGTAACAGGCAGTTCTGAAAGTGCCATTATTCCGCAGGAAATGCCTCTGACTCAGAATCAGCAGCCACCCCTCTGATTCTGTACCACAGCATCCGCAGACTCCTTTCAAAGGAATCACAAAAAAAAAAAAAAAAAAAAAAAAACAGACTAAGAAAATTACATCTTCACATATATCATTGAGGTGATGAATAATATCTTCTATTGTCACGACAATTAATCAAAATGTTAAAATAATTCCTAAGATTTAACATTTCATAAAAAAAATTAATTGTTTTTTTTTTTTACAATTTTAAAATACAGACCATTTCAAAAAATAACTAAAATATAACTAATAGCTAAACTAACTAAAATAATTTAATTTACTATAATTGGTAATAATTTAACTGTAATTAATAATAAAAAACCCCCCCAAAAAAAGATTGTCGCGCGTTTTTCTTATCAATTCAAAAATCAATTGTGTAGAAAAAAACGTTGTTTTCCAGTGGACAATATTTCATTTTTTTATTGAAAGTTACGATAAAAGCGTAATCTCACCCCTATATATATGCAAAATTTCGTGCTGGTAGGTGGTCGACAATCAAGGTGGTAACTTTGATACGTTTGCCATCTTGGATCATTGCACACAGTGCAGCACATAATCATTAGAGGCACGCGAACTATTAAAACTTGAAAAATTAACGTCTTATATAAACGTTCTTCTTCCCTTAAATTCAATTATTCTTCTTTTTTTTTTAATACAAGAACAGTACCTCAAACTGAGCAAGAATTAAAATTATTCACTTTTAACCGTAATTTGAAATTAATCATTAATTATAATTTTAATATTAATAATGAAATATATTAATTAATAATTAATTATAATTTTAATATTAATAATGAAATATATTAATTAATAATTAATTATAATATTAATTGTAATTAATTCATTATCAATGCGAAAAAAAGATTTACCTGAAACAACAAAAGGTTTCACTAGAATAGAAAAAATTTAAATTGTTTCAGTTAAATCAATCACGGAAAAAAAATTTACCAGGAATAGCGAAACGTTTCACTACAGTAATAAAAATTTTACTTGTTTCAGTTAAATCTTTCGCTATTTTAGTGAAATATTTAGCTGTTTCAGGTAAATCTTTTTTTCCATGTAATATTTATTTATTCTTAAATTAAAAATATTGTATACATTTTTCAATGCAAGGAAATTTCTTTTTTTTTATTAATTTAAAGAAACTTCTTTCTGAGAGGAAGAAAAATTTTCATTCGTAAAAATAATTGAAAGAAGAAGAAGAAGAAATGAGAAAAAAACGTTTATTAATTTATTGGGAAAAAGTTTATCGCGACTATCTCACGCAGGACTCTCTTCTCTTCGCAGTCAGATTATGTTGTGACAGTAAAAGTCCTTGCGCTAAATTATCCACTGGAAATAAGATTAGGCACGTTCCAAAGGTATATAGAAGTGTGAGGCGCACCCTTATACAAACATATATATATATATATATATATAGAGTATTCTATGTCCCATGCGTCCCATAATAACCATAGTAAATCCTATGGGGACTTCCCTAATGTTATATAGTTTAACGCGTGCGCATAAACCACACGTGAATTGTCTGATAACGGCGGGCGTCTCGACGCTCATTTTAGTATCGGCTGTAACGCCGAAGCGTCGCCATGCATGTGAACAATTCTTATCCCCATATTTAAAAAATACGCGCGCGCACGCTTCTTTATTTAAAAAAAAAAAAAATCTTTTTTTTTCCTTTACAATGTGCAAAAGTGTTACTCAAATTTTATTTTTAGAATAAATTTTGTCAATTTTCAATGTAAGTTTTCCCATGGAAAATTGTTTTTTAATAATTTTATTATTTTTTAAAAAAAGGAGTATTTAAAACATTTAAAAAAAAAAAAATAAATAAATAAAATAATAATAAAAATAAAATAAAAAAAGTATTTTTTTTTAAATGCAATAAGAGCTTTTAAAAAAAATATTTTAAAATAAAAACAGCTTTTAATAAAAAATAAATTTAAAACAGCTTTTTTGATACAAAAACAAATATTTTGATAACAAAAAAAAACCTTTTTAATATTTTTCTATAAACAAATTTAATTTTTGTATTTTTAATTATATTAATTAAAATAATTAATTGATTTTTAGAAATAAATAAACTTTCCTAAAAGGATGACGAGAGATTTAATTTGGAGGAAAGGAAAAAAATTCGATAGAATAGTTTTATATATTCTCCCCTAATATAAAATGCAAGTTTATAATATACCCCTTTGAAGTTTTTTGCATAATTTTTTTTTTTTTTTTTTTTTGCGATATTTCTTGATGTCAAGTTATGAGTTTGCGTATAATGTTATCAAAACGCCTCGCCTCCTACCGAGAGTATTTTTTACGATCTGAGCAATGAATTCTTTTTATTTTTTTTTTTTTTCCTTTTTTCGTGACAATAACGAATTTGTCAAAAATATTTAATAATTAAATAATAATTTCTCAAAAAATTTTAATTTATAAATTAAATTAAAATGGAAAAAATTTAATTTCTAACATAATAATTTAATTTTTACCAACTTTTTAATTTTTTTATAAGAAAAAAAAAATACTAATTATAATTGAATATTTATGTGCAGTGAGGTGTGAAACTGAGAAAAAAAAATACGCGATGTCGCGTGGCAGTGATAAAACGAGCGTGTGAATTTCTGCGGGGAACAAGTGGCGGAAATTTGCATTCGATGACTACATATGCAGTTCAGTGACTTTTGCCGATTATCTGGAGAGAAAATAACAGGATAAAGAATGGAATTCTTCATTTTTGTCATTTGTTGCTTTTTCACCATTTCCACAGGTAAATTATTTTTTTTTCTCTATTATTAAAATTAGATACATATAATAATATTATGAAGATTACGAAATTCTATTTAAAAATCTATTCGAATTGACCTAATTTCCAAAACAATTTTTTCTCATTTTTCAATTAAAAAGAAAAAATTGAAGGCCAATTTGCAAATTAAAATGTCAAAGTGCAATTAATTTTTTTTTCCATTTTAGTTTATTAAATTCTTTTGCAATCCATCTAATTTATGTCGACATGATTAATGCGAGTACCTATATTAATTTAATCATTAGAAAAATTAATAAATTTTCTTTTTCTTTCAGCATTGAAATAAATAAAATGAAATTCTAATTGAAAATCAATAATATTACCTAAATTAGATTTATATAAGAAATGATAAATAAATTCTAAATTTTGTTTGCAATGAAAATTTATTCGTTCTAAAGCTTTTTGATTAGAGAAATTTTTTATAAGAAATAAATTTCACGTATTATTTATATATATAAAAGGAAAAAATTCTATTTATACGGGAATTCAATAAAGAAGATAAAATCGTATATTTTTCTGCGAGAGATGTTGAATGAAGAAAATTTATTAAATTGAAGTGTCACACCTCATTATATTATGAAGAATATTGAACAATTTTATTTTGAAGAAAAGAAAATCAGTCTATCCCCAAGAGAGAGAAAATTCTTATAAAAGTGATTGTCATTAATAAACGAGATATTATACTTTTATATCAAGAGAATATTTGCCAGAAGGATTAAAACCAACACCCCTCATTTTTTTTTTAAATCGTTCAGCTGTATCACATATTTTTCTTTAGAGCATATTTTTCACAATCATATTCCATATAATTGACTTATACATTCTATATGACAAATACACTAATTGGATCAAGTCCCAATAAAATTAAATAAAAATAAAATAAAGAAAAATAATGAAAATTAAAATAAAATGAAAATTTTTTTTTTATAATAATATTGAAAATAATAATTACAAAAGTAATTTACAATATGAAGAAATTTTTTTTTTTTTTTTTTTAAATACCAAAGGAACAAAAATGCTGACGTTATTTAATTAATTTTGTAGAGTGCGCGCGATAATTTTTCGAGCATTTGACACGGAGAGTAAAAGAGACTATAAACATCCTTTGTCAACGACAAAATTTACATAAAATTTCTCATCGTCTGTGCGGTGATGTATTAATGAATTTTAAAGAAAGGATATTGCAACAGTAATTGGAAAATCACATGGAAAATTTCAATTGCAATAATATGCCATAAAAATTATATTGGAAGAAATATTATTCAAAATATTCGAAAATTATATCTAATTATTTTTTTTGCAATAAAGTAAATAAAATATACAGAGTATTAGAAAAAAAAATATCGGTCGAAAGAAAGAAATAATCGATTGAGACGTCACCTGCGAGTCGTCATATAAGGATATAATAATAGTTTGTAAAAGAAGAAGAAGAAGTAAGCAAAACACGTCACTTAACAAATATATATATATATATATATATATATATATATCAAAGTTTACATTCCTTTCGAAGTAATTTCACATCGAAAGCCAATGTCACGCAAAGCTCCCTTATAGCCATGACATTTGCTGCACTTGACCGTAATCATGCAAAGCTATCGCGAGCGCTCCAGAAATCCTTATTCTCTCTCTCAAAAAAAAAAAAAAAAAAAAAAAAAATTGCAACAACCCTATTGCGTGTCAATTGACCATGAAATAGGGAAAAATAATTAGGTGATGTTGTATGTTCATATAAAAAAATTTTATGCAAATTTTAAATTCTTGTTCCTTTACACCCACAAAGAAATTAATTTTGTATGCGCGAGAAGAGGAAAAACTAAAAACGTAACACCAATTTTTATCAACACTTAATTATTTATCAAAAAAATAAAAATTAAATTCATAATAGAAAATTAATATTCATAAATTATAATTTTATAACACATATTTATGTTTCAATATTATAATAAAGAGTCGTAAATTTTACTTTCAATATTTAATGCAGGAGAATTTAATCTAAATGTCGAGAAACAAATAATAATTTTTACGATCAATATACCAAATTATTACCAAATTTAATTACTAAGATTTCTTCAATTAATAGATAATGATTTTCTTTTCAATTGCAGTCAACAATATTTGTAATAAAACAAAATTTATTATTTATTTTGTTTCACAAATTATTCAGATTTAATTATTATATTTACAATTTTTAAATAGCAAATTCATGCAAACAATTTCTTTAATTAAATTAATATTGTTGCATTCAACTTAATTTAATTAAAAAACAGGAATTTAAATTCTTTAATTCATTTTTTTAATTATAGAAAAAAAACGATTACTTTGTTGAAAATTGCGGTATCATCAGAGAGATAGTTAATTAAAATCATTACCTAATTAAAAGAAGCACATTTTATATATTATAATCCTGTGTCAGTTTTTTTTTTAATTAATCCTCTATCAATTTATTTTATATCTTTAAAAAAAATTTAAAAAGAGCATTTTTTTTTTAAGAATTTTATTTTAAAAAAATATAATAAAGTAACTTTTACTATAAGTAAAACTAAATTATCCAGAACTTCTGTCAATTTTTGCTCCAAAAATAGAAAAAATTACTACTAAAATAGTAAAGTTCGCTCCGAAAATAGTAGTTTTTACTATTTTACTGAGCAAAAGTTGCCAGAAATGCGCAAAAATTACACCCAGTTTAGGTTTTATTTTTAGGGTGTCTAACAAAGATTGAGAAAAAAATTCCCTGACTTTTCCCTGACTCCTCCCTGACATTTAAATAACCTTATTTCTGCTTTTTTTGGACAAAAATATGATTACTGACATATTTAACAATAAATTAATTTCTAATGGTAGTAACAAATGGTAATAAAAACCATTCAAGTTTTTTTAGATTTAAAAATTTTTAAATTCACAAAAAATTTTAATTTTTGTAGAAATTTACAGAAATTTCCCTGACTTTGAATGAAATTTTCTGAAATTCCCTGACTTTTCCCTAACATTTCCCTGACCAACAAAATTCCCTGACTTCCCTGACCGTTAGACACCCTGATTTTGTATAATAGTAAAAGTTACTTTATTTTTTATTTATACGTTAGGAAAATGCTCTCCGTTAAGAAATGCTTAATAAAATACATAAATAAATCTATGAATTGAAATTTTAAAAAAAATTAGACTAAAAGGTTTTTTCTCCCAAAAAAAAAAAAACCAAATTGATTGAAAGGGTGGTGCATCATATTGTTAATCCAATCCTACCGCAGGTTGGAACACTAGCAATGGTTTACCCTCGTGGCTTTTGACAAGGGTTTGAACACCTTATTGCACCAGTCACGCTATCACATTTACAGTTCACTGTATATTATAATGGTCACGTATACTGTTACTGTATTGCACGAGAGTTACATCTGCAATATTTATATTGATTTCTACATCAGTTAATTTGTTTTGTTTTCAAACCACGACAGCTGCATATATATATATATATATTTAACTGATTAATAAAAAAAAGGGAATAGAAAAATTAAAAGAATTCTAACAGAAAAAAAATCGTTATTTTTCTATAATATATAGAAATCGATCAAAGAAACAGGAGCAAATATTTGCTCATAGGATAATGACATCGACACACTAGTACTTTTGAAAATCCTCTTATCAATACCTTTCTCTCTCTCTCAATGTGGAAACGAGTTAGTTGTCCCCTTGAATAAAGTGTGATTCGAACTCCAACAAGGCGATAACGATGTTGCCAATGGCATCGAGTACAATCTCTCTATTATTCGAGTGTGCCTGTAGGTTGCTCTAAATTCACTTCCCACGAGCTGTCTTTACATTAAAGGGAGAATATTTTGATACAAAATCTCCATTGAAAGAAGAAGGCAAGCAAAAATTGTGTAATATATACATATATATATATAAAAAGTCGCAAAAAAAAGAAGCAAAAGAAGAAGAAGAAATGTGTTTAAAAATAAAGCTAAAAAGCCATTCCGCGCCTTTTGCTATCCGACCAATCAGATTGGTATATCACATCAAGTATGCTTTTAAATCAATGTCTATATTCACGATAGTAGCCTTATCTATATAACTCGTTCAATATCACGTGACCCAGTACCTTTTTTTCCCCCTGTGATCGAATGCCCTTTTACCGCAGTTTCCAATAATACAAAAAAAAAAAAAAAACTGTCACATTAATTAATAATATCAGTCGCGGAAAGAAAACTTCTTTTAGTCTTATATTTGAAAATTTTCTACATTTCGTTTTGACAATAAAACGTTTATTTGGTATTTATTTTTTTTTTTGTTCCCTAAACAAAATTTTGATTGTCTTAATCAAATTTTTGATAACACAACCAAAATTAGAAATAATAAAAGGATTTTTTCTATTTTAACTAAAGTTTGGTACTCATTTTGAGACATTTTTGTTTTTCTCAACAAATACTGAAAATTAGTATGTATTATTTGGTTAGAAAACTAGTACTAGAAACAAAAATGTCCGAATTATATATTAAAGAAATAAAAAGTCCTTCAATACATTGAAATTTTATTCTATTTAAAGAAACTTCATTTTTCAATTTAAAGAAACTATTTCTAAAATTGAAATAAAATCAAACGAAAGGTCAAGAGAAAAAAAAATCCTTAGCTATATGATCGTCTAAATAAATAATGACCACACAAGAATCGCTCACTAATCTCTACAGATTTCTTTTTTTAACCCTTTCTGATTAATGGCACCAATTATATACGGTGCAATAGAATACCCTGGGAATAAATTCAAGTCCACATATAAGGAATAGGGACATGTTCCTTAATTTATTATTATTGTTTGTGTGCTCGAATTTCCCTTCGACAAAAGACCATCTTTAATAAGGAAATTCATTATCATCTCTTCAGTTAATTTATAACTATTAAATCACTAATTTCTTAATTATCATTGTACCACTTTTAACAATAATAAAATAGTAATTTAACTAATTGGCAAA